GAAAAAAGAAAAATTTTTTTTTTAAAAATTTAAAAATTTTTTCTCACAGAAATACGCGTATCACTCTAAATTTTATCATCTTTAATAAAAGTGTTCAATCTTCCCCATCTTTGGATAGCAATCTCGCTTTCCTGCCACTTTAGCTATCGACCGCGACGACGAAAAAACTATTCCACTTCGTTTCTGAAACGACGCTATTAAAATTTCGAGAGTCTTTTCGCACCCACAACTTACCCCTTGACATCGAACATAACCTAAGAATCACCTCGAATAACAATGTGTCAATTAAATGATGCATACCTTTGAAGGAATTATTATTTGACGTAACGAGTACCACAGCCAGCTGGTTCAACAACACGTAGAAATATCACAAAATGGCGTCTATCGAACGAGCTACCTAGCTCAACCCTATCTTAACTGTCTCCTGGTTCTCTTCCATTCAACGCGCCCGTCATTTTGGTTTGTGATGGACCAATTGGAACAAGGAATTTGTTGCTTCTTTCATTCTGATTGGCCAAAAGTTATCATTCATCACCAGAGAGAAGACTGAGAGATATTATGGCCCTTTTAGGTGATTCCTGGAAGCGATACTCCCTCTATGGACATTAAACGTGGACATGAACTACAAAACCATCCCCGAATCGGGTTTTTTAAATGCATTAAACTATTGTGGACAAATTTTATTCGACATTTTCGTGTCGAAAGAATTAACTTAAATACAAAGAAAATGGTTTTGAAGATTTACAGGATAATTCTTTTATTATTTATATGTACATACATATAAATTACTGTTTATGAATAAGTAATAAATTAAGAATTAATCGAGGAATTTAAATATTTTCAACAAAAAATCAGTAAGTGTTGTGATTTGATTTATACATCATAAGCACAGTATTTTCAATTATATATTTTCTCTTACCTTGAATTTTTTAATAAATTTTACATCATTAGCTATGGCATATTAAGAGTTGTAATATTAGAGGAAGTATGGAATATTAAGAGTTTTAGAGAAATAAACTTAAAAAAATGCAATCTTAATGATATAACTTTAAAAAGAATCTAAGTTATGCAATTATTTCTTTACTTATTTTTCATTAATGTTATTAATTCCTGAGATATTCATTTAAACAATATCCACTATTCTTATATTAATACTACACAGCTTATGTAAGATAAATCTCTCATGTTAAGTTGAAGATTACACATGCTATTAAATATACTATAAAATGTTCTATCCTAAAATTTTTTAAGAATTTTCTTTGCCATTTTCTTATCTAATCACAAGAGTAATTTAGTCAATTTTTAATACATTACGTTAGCTCTCAAATTATGAATTATATTAGAAAATCCTAATGGACCAGTCTCTTATAATCTATCTTTTCCAATTGCACCAAAGGTCGCAGCTGTTCAGCAAATATTCTCATATCCTCTGCTATGGCGTCCTGTCCACTGGGAGCCAATACACTCAGTTCGACTAAATAACTTTGCGATATCATTTCTGGCACACCTTCTGGCACCTTGCCTTGATTGACCTTGAAGATCTTTTGACACTGTGATTTTCATTCGGCCTTTACGGAACATGTAACCGCGAGTGACATATTCAAAATCCAGTTTGCAACCCAATTCAGTAAGAAACTCTACCACAGTGTTGCTAGTAGCAATATCAATGCTACTACGTACAACTGTTGGTCTAGATTTGTCACCCAGTTCAGGTTGGCCAATATAACGCAATTGCCATGGCATATCTGAGTGGATTGCATCTAGAGCACGTCGAACTCGCAGTAGCAGAGGTTGTTCCTGTGGTGAGCCTCTAAAAATCAAATAAACTTTTACAAAGAAATTCAAAGAAATTGATATGATTTTACTTCTCATATTTGCATTAATTTATTTTGTTGGAATAAGACTAGAGAAAGAGAGAGAGAATAGAAGAAAAGAGGGAGAATTATACCTTCGAATGCTAAAACACATCTCATGATCATAAAAGGGCTCTGGTCCAGTATCCACATTATCGCATAAACCACGAAGTCTATGCAATAGTACTTCGACTGAGGTGTCCAATACTGATCCCTGCAGCAGATATTCTTGATTTGGGATTATGTTAGATTTTAGAGCAGCGCTCAAACTATCCATGGCAGTGCTGATTGGAGCAGTCATGCTGGTTTGTGTGAATTTCCACGAGCAGTAAAAACTCTTGAAGGATAAGCTGTTTTTCATGAAACAAGACATAATTAAGAGGGCTTTGCTAAGTAACATTCATAATAATATTTATATTTTTTTTTATTTTTTTCATACATACCTTTTTTCTTTTTATATATTATTTATAATACACTCAAATTTTTCTATATAATTCTTGATAGATTGTGCTTATATTTTTCGTATAACCTTAATAAGCCCTTTTTCTTCTAATTTTTAAATTTCTGTTTAAATTTCTGAGATATAACATGATGTTTTCTCTACAATCTTTTTTCTACACTTTGTTATTATTTTATATTTGTCATTCAATTATGCATATGTGAACTATGATATGGAGATCAAATTGTATCTAACAAGGTGGAGAGATGATGTTTGAAAATGAGGTGAGATGAGGTGAGGTAAGATTAGGTTGAGTTAATTCAGATATATATATATATATATCAGAGAGAAGACTGAGAGGTGTCATGGCCCGGTTTTAGCTGATCCCTGGAAGCGATACTCCCTCTGTGGACATTAAAAACGTGAACATGAATTACAAAGCCAACGTCCACAAATGTTCTCAAAGGGTAACATATATGTCTCTCTGCTAATATAAATAATATAAATAAAAATATAAATAATTTAATTAATAATAATTTATTATATAAAAATATTAGTATGTTCTCTCTTTCCACACTATTATTTATTTATGTGTCTTCTTTTTCTGTTCAACATTTATTTATTTATTTATTTAGCTCGCTATAAGTCAATCTTTTAAAATATAACTAAAAGCAAAACTAAATATTATAGAATTTGACTTCGGAAAAGCGCGGTAAAATAATCGAATAAATTCAAATAATTAGATTCGTGATAAATTATTTAATAAATAATCAATTTTAATCAATAAATTAAAATACTTCCATAATTTAATATTCCATGTTAATGTATATTTTATAATTTATAAAATATTTTGGCAACGAATTATCGACATGGCATTCGACTTTGGCAATATAAACAATAGCACGCTATTGTTAAATATGTTACGGCTTTATGACACTTGAGCGATAAAGTAGTGATGCGAAACGCTTCGCATATTGTCGAATTTTTTTTCTAAACACGATTACGATTAGTATCAAAACATAATTTGATATAATTACTAATAATTAAAAATAAATTAACTTATGATAAACGTCATGAAAATGTATCGCAACGATAAATCTTTATCGAACCGCAATCATTAATTACTGCGAATAAAAATTGAAAAAGGGAATATAAAAAGGGATAAAGAAATTAATTTTATTATGATCTTTCGATTATTGCTGCTTAGTATAATAATTTATCTAACTTATACTTATTAGAATTAAATAAATTTCGACCAATGTTTTAAATTTTCTTAACGGCAATCATTCATAGAATATTTCAACGACGAATTATAACAATAACATAATATAAGTCGGTCTTGGCGATATAAACAGTATTGCGGTAATGTTTCTGACCTACGATCATTCCCTCAATGGCCTTCGAACAGTGAGGTAGTGATATGAGACGTTCCATATATTATTAAATTCTTTCTCTAACAATTATTTTGAACATTGCTTTATATAATAGATTTTCTCTTATCTTTTATATTTTTATTTTTCGTTTATATTTGCGAATTAAAATTTATATAGTATATTACAAAATTAATTATATATTATATTATATATAAAATTATATATATAATATAATATAACCCTCCCATAGGGTACACCTTGTCGCGGTGGGAGGGCTTAGTACCTGGATGGTGCCTTGAGATTTATCTTAAATTTTTCAATTTATGATAAATCTTAAGGTGCCTGAAAGGGAAGCTAAGTACCCTTTCGCGTCGTCGGTACCATCAACGTGCCGCGGACGGCAAGCGCTTCGTCAACGCGTCGCGATAAGTATATACATATTAGGAAGTGCCGTTAAAGGTATATACATATTAAGTATATACATCGCGTATAAAATAACGAAAATAGCGATATAAAAATATCGCTGGCGAGTGCGGGAGTGTCGTCAGTATCGCGCACCAACAACATGAGATACGATATATTAAAGTGCGTTTCTCGTAATTATTCCGCGATCGGGAGTGCTATGCAAAGTGTCTCGCAATCGTTTCTGTACACGGTTAAATATAATTAATTGTTTGTTCGCGAGTGAATATCAGTGCTACGAGGAAACAGCAAAGAATGAAAAAGAAAGGAGAAGGACATCTGGAAAAGTATTGGACAGCCAGAGAGCAGTGACAGAGCCTGAAGCATCCAGAGAGATATGTGGTGAATAATTTATAAAAATTATTTATTATTTATATATATTATTTTCCAGGGTTGGGAAGTAACGCGTTACTTGTAACGTCGTTACAGTTACTTTTTTCGATAACTATAACGGTAACGACGTTACAAATTTCGTAATGAAAAAAGTAGCTTTGTTACAGTTTTCGGTAACGAATAACGAATTTAACAGTTACTTTTATTGCCACTTTTTGTAAATTTATGAATTTATAAATTTAATTTGCGTTTAATGAATTATTTTTTTCGTTTTTCTCGTTTATTTTTTTCTGCTTTATGATATTCACTTAATATTCAAAAAAAGTAATTACGCACTAATCAGCATACGATTATACAGCAATTTACGCTTTGTACAACACTCGCGACGTTACACCAAGCCTTTTGTCATTTTGCTACGTGATAATAATGCAATATATCTCAAAAAGTTATGACTCACTCGACATTAATTAAAATCAAAATCAAATCGCGCCACTTGCTGTGTAAATAAAAATCGTACAAATTAATAATCACTAATTGTAAAAATTATACAGAACAATCGCGTTTTGAAGGATCGATTCTCGACGAACGATTCGAGTCTTCCCGCGAGAAGTCAAGATTGAGTTCGAACGCGTGACGCGAACGCGTGACGGATTAAAAATAATATATCAATCCGTCATATAACAATTCTTTTAAGAAAATAACCAGTATATTGAAACAGTTTCACCAACTGGTCAATTGATCGGTTTTTATATCAGTAATTAAATCGGTAAAATTGTTTCGATATACTGATTATTTATTTTAAAAGTTTATTCATTGTTGCCGCGATGTTAACGTACGGGATAAACGGAATACATTCGTAAGTTACAATTTTATTATTAATAAATAGTTGATTTGACCATTGCTCTTTACATTATTCGAAATACTCGATTATACGATTGGAATATAATGAGAATATAATTTCGAAACACGTATTTCGCGTGATGTATTCATTTAATTAAAAATAGAATCGAATGCAATTAAGAATCGATGTGTGATCGGAACCAAATTATAAATTATCATTTTGTTGCAATCCTTAGGAACAATAATTATTATTCTTTTAATATTTATAATTAAGAATATTTCGTTGATCGAATGGCAAAATCGAATAATTAACGTAATGGAAAGCCTTGTGATGTATATTAATCGTTTAATAAATAATTAATCTGTGTGTACATGTGTGTGCGATTTTAAAAATATACTTGTATATAAATTCAATTTTCGTATATGTACGTCATAGTACGCGTTAAATATTTCGGCAGCGAAGTCAATAACACGACGTTCGGCCTTGATGACGTAGCGCTGTATTGTTTACATAGGCGAAGACTTTGTATCATTCGCACGGCGATATTCGAGTAGTAAAGTAGTGATACGGAACACTTCGTATTATTGAATTCTTTTTCTAACAGTGCGATCGCGATTAATATCGACATTCGCTACGACTATTACAATTAACAATTAATTAACTCTTAATGAATAACATGAAACTATATGGCGATGATACATCCATCGAAACGCGATCCTTTGTTATTGAAAAATAAAAATTGAAACAAAAGAGCCGGACCTGTTGACTCGAAGATGACTCTTGTGTGAAACGGGATTTTCGCTCGTACCGAAACCGGGAGTGCCGTTTAAAGTATATATATATTAAATATATACATCGCGCGACAAAACAGAAAATTGTTAATCATATCGAATAGTGCGGGAGTGCCGTTCAGTATCGCGCGTAAAATAACGAAAATAGCGATATAAAAATATCGTTCGCGAGTGCGGGAGTGTCGTCAAAGTATCGCGCGCCAACAACATGAGAGGAGGAGGAGGCCTGGGAGAGGCATCTTGCATCGGCGGAGCAATCTGATGGTGAATATTTATTATTTGTATATCAATTGTTATAAATCGTACGCATAATAATTGGTTCTTATAATTTAAAGGAATTAAACAGAAAATTAGAGAGAAAGATTTTTATAAATATGAAAATTTCTATTTAAAAAATAATTTTAAAATTTATAAAATCTTCCCATACGTGTTTATATCTGCTTATTATTTTACACACCGAATATGAAATTCCGCAGCCTTGTTATAAATGAATTTTATATTTGTATGTTTCAGACGTAGTTTTAACGACAACATAATAACGAATAACGATAACTCCGCTGCTGCACATTAATGCCATGGTGAGTGATTAAAAACTTTTATTTAATTTTAAGGTAACGGTAGAGATTGTAGATAAATCTGTTGCCTTAAAATGGATGAGCTGGTATAGATTAAATAACTTTTAATAAATTCGTTTGAAATGTATTGCATTCATCGCGAAAACATTACAGTATATCATAAAGAAAGAAGATCGAGAAAAGATCACTCTTGTAATTTTATCTAATTTATTGAAAAGAACATTAAAAATTCTAACAATTACATCTGATGTTAATTTATTCTTATAACACGTATTTATCTTATTCACTTACCTTATTCTAATTTCTTATAGCTCGTCCATTATAGAATTTGTTGTAGATATTGTTTTTAAGCTTAATGTAAAGCCAAATGATTAATTATTATAATGAAATAACTTGTAATATGATAAGTGTTATACATATATTAATTTTTTTATAAATTTATTATTAATTCGCACATCTGCAATCGAATATTCCAATTATTGTCGATTTATTTAATCGTCGCGTTTTCTCGCGAATTTTAAATCGCAATTTATTTAGTAATTTAATTGTTGATTTCGAAGTATTCTATTCATTTTGAATATTTCCTTTAATAATATACACAAAATGCGCCAGTAATCCAAATACTTTCTTTTACAGTCGAAGAAACGATCAATAATTTTATTAATGATTCTTTTTCTTCTTTCACGATTATTTACGTTATATAAAACTTATTAAATTCTATTGTTGCATATCTATTAATAATAAATGTCACGTAATTATCGATAACGCGGCGTTCGACTTTGGCAATATAAAATATAAACAGTAGCACGCATTATTTATTAAACAATTTATCACGGACTTTTTCGTTATGTTAATTATTTGCATTTATAATTCGATTGTTTTATTTCATGTTCTCTCACAATCCAAATTATAT